TTCACAGTTGTCTGTGGGGCTGTTGACAAGCCGTGGTCTAGAACTGCGTGTTGGAAAGATCAACATGCAGAGTATCTCGCATAGATGACCGTTCGTGCGCAACCCTGAAAAGGTTCGCCTATGTGAGCGCAGTGACATATATATATATATATTTGCAAAATATGCATACACGGGGAAAGACAAGCAGGCTTTGCTTCCCCAAGAAGACCTTTGTTGGGTTTTTCCAACGGTCTAGTCGGAAGAGGCACTCGTGCAGCCTCAGCAGCACGTGCAGCAGCTGCTGGCCGAGCCCTGCAAACATTAAAGGACCATGATGCTGCAGCTGGTGGCCGTGCTTTGTTGTTCCAGCATAGAGTGAAGAGGGAAAAGGGATAGCTGTTTTCAGTTTTAATACTTGAAAGCATGAAGGAGTGGCGCATGAAGCATGAAACAACAAGTCTGAGTGAAAGTCTTTTCAATGGGTTCTTGTTTAAGCTGCCGGCGTCATTAGTGACCCCCAGCATTTTAGAGCATTTTTCAATAATGACGCCTGGTGCTCCAAGCTTTTTGTTGCATTCGACCCATTATTATGCGTGCAAACATTTGGCATACACCCGTGTCGTGGTGAACAAGTGTTGTTCTTGATAACAAATGGAGTGTAAGTTCTCAGGGTGGCTTGGGTGGGAGCAGTTGTTCAGAAGTCCAACTTGTGCCATTTTGGGCTCAATTTGGATTGGGTTCTTCCCCCCCATTTCAAGTAAGTGGGGGGGATGGACGGGTTGTTGCCAGACAGGGCAACATTCGATGCCTGGGGCGCCTTGAGTGATGCAGGGATGTGGGCTGGCGTGGATGCTGGCTTGTTGCGCTGCGTGTGTAGGCAGCTGGGGGATGCAGAGTTGTCATCACTGCAGGCGCTAGCAGTGATACCCTCAGATGTTGTGGAGCAAGCACTTAGCAATGCATTGAGAGGTGGACGTGCATTGCTCGAGACAGACGTCTGATCTACTTGGCCGCCATGAAGCGTGAGCGCATCCAGGCAGGGCACGAGTGGTCGGACGGTCTGACCCTGGCCGTGAAAGACGCGGTCAGGTCTTGCCTGGGAGGCATAGGCTCGGACAAGGTGAACTTGCGCAAGGTGAAGGACTTGGTGGAGGTTGAAGCGGTCCCAGATGGCCCTTCACACCCATCTGTGATTCTGATTGCAATGTTCGCCTGCAGTGAAATGGAAGCTGCTGTGCGCCTTGTTAGGCATTTGTCCATTGAGGAGGATGGCAAGACCTGCGTCCGGCTCCTTCACACATCCGCATTCAAAAACTGGAGATCAACCGAGTTCCTAAACTCACGTCCACGTCCTATGGAAGAGGAGGCCTTCACTGCATGTAGGACTTTCGAGCTCAAGTTCTTCACCATCTTGTGCAAGAATCGTGGACAGCTCTTCTTCGTCCCACTTGTCTTTCAGGTCAAGTGACGTTGTCCTCAACTCCGGCAAGATATCTTCACTCGCGCCGCCCAAGGCTTCTTGAACCGTCGCTTCAACCTTCTTCTTGGGCCTTCCGCCAGGTCCGCCCTTCTCCAACTGGAAGGGGAGAAAAGATGTTTTGCCCGTCGGTCGTAACAGGGGCGACGAAGTGTGCTGATCACACTTACGCCCAGCCGGAGTATCGGTGGTGATGACAGGTACGGAGCAGGGTCATGGAGACCGCTGCCTTCGCGCGCGTGACCAATGGTCGCCAAAGAAATGAGGGAGTCCACATATTCAATGTTGCGTTCGATTCTTGGTTTGGGGGGTGGGATGGGGGGATAACTTCGTCCGAACCGCGAAGTTTTTTGGCTTGCAGGATGCGCTCTCTGACCCCCTCAAAGTGTTTGCTTTGTGTTTGGTGGTTCCGCGTCGGTTGGTCAAGACCCCTTGTCCTGAGTTGAGACTTGAGTTTTCGGCGAAGATTGAATATGTGCAGTCTTGAGCGGTTTGTGTTGGCAACGCTTCTAGACCCAGATCGTTAGACGTTCTTCTTTTGCGTTTTAGCAGAATTTCACGGAGTGTTGAGTCTATGTGGACACGGGTCTATACTAAATGCGTTTGCGGGCCGAATTGCTACCGTGCGGTGTGGTGGCCTCTCTTTTTGTTTTCTCGCCGCGTTTCGCTTGCATGGTTCGCATGGAATCGCCTCCTTTTACGTGTCCGTGGCCAAGAGAAAAAGGTGGCCGCTGACACGAGTGAAGCGCACTCGTTTGCAGTTCGCGGCCAAGCTGTGAAGACCGGCGCACGGGTGATCGATCGACTGTGGGGTCACCTGAAGCAGTATATACCCAAGAGCGCCCACGCCAAATGTGCAAAAGGATTGAACCCACTCCTCATGAAGTATGCCTGGGTTTTCAGTTTTGAAGAAGCTGTGAGAAAAGCTTGTGGAAGAGTATTGGCAAACGATGCCTGTGCGCTGAGTCACCAAAAAGACAAGAGGGACAAAATTTCGAGTCATGGAAACTGAAATTGCAAGGTGACTTACATTAAACATGCTGCCTGGAGTGGGAAAACAGTGCAAAATCAATCCGTGAAAGTCATGCACAGAATGAAAACCTACACTTCAATGGAGAAATCTACCCGGCGACACTAACTGGCGTGTGCTTAAAGCGCCAGGGTCCTTAACAATGCCGGCACCTTGTTCAAGCCTCTCCAATGGCAGAAACTTTAGGCCCCGTTGGCACTGAACGTCTGACTTGTTCTGCAATGTAAAGCAGCAACAAGTCTTGACGTTGCAACAGGACCATCATCAGCAACTGAAGGACCAGAGGGAGGCGCAGATGGAAGAGTGCTCGGCCCTAGCAGAGATGAAAAATAGACACACTCAGATTCAGATCGACTCTGGTGCTTAGTTCATTATTCACGAACTGCACATTAGTGGGATGATCCCAGGCGTGAACAGCTCGACGCTGCCAAAGCAGCGGCGGCAGCAGCATTGTCAAGGCAAACCCAGCTTGCAACCGCGTGATGCTCAGTGGGTGCAATGCGCACTTTATGCTTTTTGGCAGACTCGAAACTTTGAAGCGCAAAAGTTAAGGCAGCTTCCCGCGAATGGGCACGCGACGGTCCAGAGACAGAGGCTCTCAAGGCTCAAAGAATAGACCTTTTTTTGTGCGTTCATGCTGCCTGTTGTTTTTAGCGCGTGGCCCTGCCTCCTTATTTGATTAAGTAGGCACCTACTCAATTAACTAAGGGAGTAAACTAAACAAACATATAGGAAAAGTTCGCTCCTAGCTTGGACGCAGGATAGTTCACGCTTCTTCAAGGAGACTCCCCCCGCCTGAAGCTGGGGGAGCTTCCTTGAAGAAGCGTTCGTCCTAATGATTTGGTTCCTAGATTTGAGGGGCTCCTGACTTCTACACCTTTGGGCTTAAAAACCAGGGTAGTGTTCAACTTCGTCAGCAAAGATGTAAAGAAATACGAAGTACGAGTCCATCTTCAAACGGATGGAGCTTCCCGGCTTCCCATGAACGTCGCAAGGAAGCGAAAATCGAGCTTGCGGAGCTCCTTGCCGAGGCCTGCTAAGGCTGTGTCCCTCTCCAACGAAGTGTTTGTTAAACACAAGAAACAGTATTGCTATCCTGATTTGCAGCTGTTTTAGATATTTTTGTTTTTTTGAAGAACTGATTTATGAGGTCGACGAAGCACGACTCCATCGTCGAAGGGAGCTGAAAGCCTTGCAGCAGGACTGAAGTTTCTTGTTCCATCTGCTGCTGGTTTCAAGCAGAATGAAGAACCTTTGCCACAAGCCACCAAAATAAGCACTTGGGAGAAGTAATTGGTCTTGTTCTACCAGGCCGTGGAAGCCACTGAGACAGAGAACAAATGGCTTCGAGCTGGAGGACAGTATATGCTGGTTGTTGCGTTTATGTTGAACCAGCAGCTGCAAAGTCCAACACAACAAGAGTTTTGAGTCCCTCTGACATATTCTACATTTAAGAACTTGTTGAACAAATTGCAGATTCGACTTGAAGAGGGTTTGCTTACGCAGGTCATGACTTCTACGAGGCCAGTTGATCATTTGGGACTTGATGAAAGGATAAACAGCATTAACATTTGCTTGCGAAGCAGCGCTTCTCTTTGAGCTGGTAAAAGAGGCTTCAAGTCCGTACATATTTTGCTTTGTGCGTGTGATTCGCACATAGCACACTTCTTGATTTCGTGCCGTTGGCATCCTGCACTTCTACTAGCTATCTCCCATTTGAGTGTTGGCTTCAATTCGAAATTGAAGGGCCTCCAGGTCAAGCCGCTTTGTCACCAGGTCCAAGACCTCATCGAGCAATCTTGGCACTCCAGGATTTCCAACATCGTTCTACACACTGCCACACATCTTTCATGAGTGTCCAGGCGATCCACTTCATCCTGCCAAAGCGCCGTGCTCACGTTGCAGGCCCTTTCGCAGCAGCACATGCCGTGTCTGGTATCGCTGGACTTGTAGTAAGGTGCACCTTCCAGTCGTCTTCGACGCCAAGCTACTATTGACTTCCTTAAATCATATGGATCTAACCCTCCTTCGCCTAGAAAACTTTTTCATTTGGGGCCAGCTTGGCTTGAAGCGATTCATCGTGCTCAGACGCAATTGGTCATTGTGGATTGCGCGAGAGCGCTGGTAGATCCTCAGATGGTCCTTCTCCCAGCCGATCATACTCTTCATGAAGGACTTGGTGCAACTATTGAGAAGACCTTCTTAGAAGAGGTCGAGGGCGTTGCTTCATTGACAAGATGACGGCTTCGGCTTGGCTTTTCGTTCTGCTGTGGCTCATCTTGGCAGCTTGTAATCCGGAGAAAGCCCGCCTTTTGAATTCTCGTCTATCGTTGTGAGTCCGACCTCAGTCTTGACATTCCACGCCACTACTGGCACTTCCTGATGCATGAGGACTTCTTCATCAGCTGCTTCTGCGCGCCCAGTGCTGTCTCTGGCCGACTGATTGCCCCAAAAAGCACCTACTTCTCGTTGATATACCATCCCTTCTTAACAGGGCCACCATGGTCCAGAGACAGCCCGCTTCTGGCAAGACGCAGCTGTCACTTGGAAGCGTCGCGTGGCTTTGTGCCAAGTGTTGCCTTTATCAAGGTTTGCACCTTGATTTCCACGATCGATGGTGAGCTGCTTTGCAAATTCCCGCATCGAACCAGCTTGATGCGGTTGGCAAGGCCTCAAGGTGCCACAAACCGCCTTTCATTCTTGCCACTTGACGAAGCACAGGTGATCCTGAAATGCCCATCCTGGGTTGTCCCCAAAGGTACCGCGCTTGGTCTCACAGAACCTTTTGGCTTCATCCCTCACTTCATCTTCCAAAGCCACACATTTTCTTCGCCTTCATCATGTTCATTTTTGCCAGGATGTAGTGGTCGTGGACAGTTACAAGGTCGACCTCCTCAACCAAAGGCTAATTAGAACTTTTGGTTCATAACCTTTTTGTGGAACAGAGCTCTCTTTCGTGCTGGTACAAACGGCTTCAAGTAGGTACATTTCTTGATATGTGCGTGCCAGGGAGCTCATGCCAAAAGGTCTACGCCTATCGTTTCATGGTACATTTCTCTGGGTGTCGTGCAGTATTCATCCTGCAAATTCCTGCAAATGCAAAGAACCACATTGGCAAGGCACAAGTGGTAGTTATATATATATATGTATTATATGTGTTCTCCCAAGGGGATGGCATGCATGAATTGCTGGTCCCACCGGAGCTTTTCAAAGTCAGAGCTGCCTGATCTCTCCCACCAGACCTCGTTCTGGGGAAGGTGGGGAGAGGTCAGGTGGTTTCATTGTTGGGTGAGACTCTTTTGGACCATCACTTGCCTCCAGCACTCCTCGTGGAGTGAGGGGGTAAGTGGTGGCCAAGGTTGACCTCTGGCTGCCCTTGGCTCCCTCGTGGGAGTGAGGGGAGTCAGGGGTCTCTGTCGGGGCGTGAGAAGACCACTTTTTGAGGTTGGAAATCTTCCTCTTGAGAGGGGGGCCCTGAGGACCTATCCCTCCTAGGCAGGAGCCTGGAGGTCTCGGGAGCGAGGGGATGGAGAATCAGAAGTTGAGGTTCTTCAAGAAAGGTGGTACTCTCGAAGACTGGAATGATTTGTTGCAGCGTGGCGTTCTGCCCCACCATATGACGTGAGTTGACGGGAAAGATCATGAAGATGTGTGCGGCCTATGCCGAATCAGTTTTGGGCAAAGACTGCGTGAGGGAGTATGAATGTTATGATTGGAATGGACGGGCCCAAGGAAAAGCATGTATAGAGTTGAAGATTGGAGTGACGTTGGTCGTGGATTTCTTGTTGGAGATCAGTTGGTGGCAAGTGATGGTTACTATGAGTGGTATGGCCAGAGTTACTTGAACGGTGGAAAAAGAGATCTACCACTTGTGCCGCGGAAACCGGAAGAAATGCAAGGAGAAACTTCCCGGTGCAGATGGTCGAGAACTAGTGCATATCAGTCGTTGGAGGTTGGTGAGCATGTTGATGATGTCAGATATGGAGTACTCAAAGAAGACAGACTTGTGTGAAAGCGTTTGGGACCATCATTCGCCCCCAGCGCTCCCCGTGGAGTGAGGGGGTGATTGGTGGCCAAGCTTGGCCTCTGGACGCCCTAAGCTCCCTCGTGGGAGTGAGAGGATGGAAAACCAGAAGCTGAGTTTTTTTTTCACCAAAGGAGGTACGTTGGAAGATTGGAATGATTTGTCGCAGAGTGGATGACTTGGGTTGATGGAAATGATCATGATGATGTGTTGGCCTATGCCGAATCGGTTCTGGGCAAAGGTTGTGTGATGGAGTATGAATGTTATGATTGGAATGGGCGAGCCCAGGGCAAAGCTTGTTTGCGAATTGAGGATTGGAGTGACGCTGGTCGAGGATTTCTGGTGATGGTTATTGTGAATGGTATGGACAGAAGCACTTGAAAGATGGAAGAGGTCTCTATCATTTCTGTCGTGGAGACCCGACGAAGTGTAAGGAGAAACTCCCTCGTGGTGATGGACGATGCATGATATGGAGTACTCAAAGAAGAAAGCCATGGAAGGCATCGTTAGTTTCGTTGACGGATGGACGCCCCGTGTGCCGGAACCAGCAAGAGCACCGCCCACGAAGGATAAGCCTGAGGCTTTGCGTGATTTGACTGGTCTGGACAGGGCCCTGGAGAAAGCGAAGAAAGCAGTCACGGAAGGTGCTGGCAGAGGAAAAGAAAGGAGAAGCCAAAGCTGAAGCAGGGCGTGGACCAAAGGGATCCGTGGCGGCTCTTTTTGAACGGAAGGCAGCGGAGCCCCGAGTAGTAAAGGAGCAGTCCAAAAGTCCGGAGAGGATGCGTCAGGTTCAGTTCGACGAGTGCCCAAAAGAGTTAGGGCGCCAGAGAGAAGCGGAGGTGGACAAAGGAGAGTGGTCCTAAACTGGGGGGAAGCGAAAGCGAAAAGCGAATCCAGTGAAGAAGAGTCAGGGCCTTTTCACCGAAGCCCAACCAGGGCCAGCTTGATGAGCGTGGAGTTAGAGGCTGGAATTGAGGAGAGCTTGGAGATGATGCAGTGGTGGGCGAAGGAAGAGGAATGTGGAGCGTTGAGCGTATCCGAATCTGGGCCTGGCGCTGGTGTGCGTGCGAAGTGGCGCAAAGCCTGGGCGAATATCTAAGACGGTCCATAGAGCCGGGGTCTGACGACGGCAAAAGTGGGAGCGCCATGAGCTTTATGATGCGCCGGAGTTCAATGAGGAGTTGGAGCCGCTCAACTCGGTGTGTAATGGAGGATGGATATGGCCAGCCACTGAGGTGAATAGATATCCGGTTGTCTACCTTCGCAAGGGCAATCCCCAGAAAGAATCTGCCGAGAACCGGCAGGTCTGGAGAGGTCACAGCTTTCACACAGTGGTGGTGGCTTGCTTGCTAGACCTGTGGCTTTGGAAGAAGCAAGCACGGACTGACCCAAAAGGGGCAAAGGCGATCGAGGAGAAATGGCGTGAGGAGATGAGCCGACGAAGTTTTGAAGAAATAGGGGAGAAGGATGATGCTACCGCCCATGTCAGTATGAGTGAGAGGGACAAAGAGGAGGAAGCTTTGTTGCAGTTGGTGAAAATCCGAAGCAGAGGAATGGCTGAGGTTGGCTGCGCACAGCTTTGGAGAAGATGGAGGAGCCAGGTTGCTGAACGTGAGGCTGATACACCAGTACCTGCGGCGGATGAAATTGCGGAGGTGACGTACGTCTGGATCTGCAGGTGGTCTATCGTCCGGATGCGGTGATCCGCGCAACAGTGGACCCAGGCAGGTGGGCGTGCAAGACAGCGCAAGCCTACAAATGGCGCAGAGAAGAACATATCAACCTGCTAAAGCTGAGGGCGATTCTGATTCTGAGGACCCTTGAGTGGCGTGCCCGTTCAGCTTCTTTTCATTCGTGCAGGTTCCTCCACTTGTCAGATTCGCAGATCTGCTTGGCTGTTTTGACAAAAGGTCAAAGTAGCTCGAAGAAGATCAATCGCATTTTGCGAAAAATTTCAGCCTTGTGCGTCGCCCTCAACCTGTTTCCCTTATGGGCTTGGATTGCGTCCCGCTTGAACCCGGCGGATGGTCAAGCAGAGGTTTTGGGAAGGATGTGAAGAAGGGAGATTAAGAGAAAAGAGGCGAAGGAAGACCGCAAGGCTGAGAGAAAGAAAGTTGAGAAGTTGTCAGAACAACGTGTTTCACTTGGAAGCAATGTGGCAGATGTACTATGTCGAAAGGACTTAGATCAGCGCTCTGCCAGTACATTGCATTCCTCTGGGAGGAAGGAGATCCCAAAAGTATGGCAAACTACGTGCTGGCCGCTGTAGAAAACCCGTACTGAAAGGGGCTTTGCAAGGGGCATGGCAGCTTGTTTCTCTTTGGAACAAGCTGGAGCAACCAATACGGGCTACCCCACTAAGCCTGGAGTTGGTTTTGGCTGGAATCCTGTGGAAATGGCAATGGCCTCGGCCAGCTCAACTATCGATGGTGGCCTTTTGTCGCGTACTTCCGACAGGAGAGATGTTTCAGCTCCATCGGTGAGACGTCCTTTTGCAAAAACAGGAAGGGCAAGTCGGCCATACTTTTTCTGCGTGACACCAAAGCAGCGCAACGAACCGCTCATCAGTGAGAAAAGTGGGATTGGATGCCTCAGAGCCCTGTGTCATAGACGCAGGCCTGATGAGAAGTTAGTTGACTTCCCCCCCGCAGCTTTCAGGTCGCTGTGGAAAGAGGTGGTGGTCCACCTTGGCCTTGAAAGTTTCAACTACCTCCCGTACAGTTTAAGAGGGGAGGAGCGCCCAAGGCATGAAATTTGACCAGCTTTTGGCTAAAGGCCGCTGGAAACATGTTTCTACAGCCCGCATCTACCTGGATCAAGCCCTCCAAGAATACACTGCCCTCGTCTAACCGCCAGCGGTTTCCCAAAGAGTTCGCGCAGCAAGCCAGAGGTTTGCTGCCGAGCTGGGACGCGTGGAGGTGGGGGCAAGGAGGTCTTGATCGGGAGAGGGCACTGGGTCTTTTGCCTTTTCATCAGCAGGCACTTGACCCCGGCTAAAAGCTCGGAAAGGGTCAAAAGGTGGGCTGGGCAATGTAATGCATAAATATATATATATATATATGTATACATATATATATATATATATATATTAGCGTGCCAACGGCCATGACAGCGCGCGCACCGGATGTCCGAGGCCCCAGGTGGTTCCTTCAGTGCATCTCTGGGAAGGCTCTTCAAGGTGGCTGGAACCAAAGCACCAAAAGCACCAAAACGCAAAGTGTGAAGAGAAACAAAGTGTGCCAATGATATGATGCCGCAATATGAGTGTCATCATTCTATAAATGTGTTCATTGTGCTTTTTACAAGTTGAATGTTCTCCTTTATTTGTCATCGCCACTGTTTAATTGGCTTTGGTGCCACCGAGGCCATTGGCAGGAGAGATCCTTTTCCTGCTGCTCCAAGCTGAAAAAAACAGTTGCTTCGGAGATCGTTTGCTAACAAGTCATGCATGATCATGCAAATGCCTTCAAGCAGACAGTTTCAATGCGTGCAACACGCTTGTATATAGTTGAACCAAATAGCAAGAAAAAGGTGGCATATCTGTTGATTCACGCAACGGCAGCTATTTCCTATTCAGGCCATCTCCTAACCTGGCAGAATGCATGCACGTCAGACCTTCCCAGTGAAAGTGCTGCTCGGCCGCTTAGAGCAGGGGGGTGCAGCTCCATGGTCCAGCTTTTTGCCAGACCACTTGCGTCCCAAAGAGGTGAGCGCGAAAGTCTTCCACGAAAGTGCTTCGTCTGTGAAGGCCAAAGCAGAACCAAAGCCTCGAAGAGGTGACTATACACCCGTCGGCATCTCTGTCTTTGGCCGAGTTTGGGAGTATTCCCAGGATGCTGCAGGCTGTCGAGAGGTTCAACTTGCAATTGAGATGGCAGATGAAGAGAATCGCTTGAGAATAGTTGCAGAACTTCATGATCATGCTTCTTGGCTGTGTGTAGAAAGTTTCTTGCATGAGTATCCTGAGTCAACATCTGATATGACCATTCTGGACATTGCATGCCAACATCTCGCCCAATGAACGATGCAGCCTACAACTGGAATACGCACAAGTGAAGACACTCTTTAAAACTATGACCTGGATGAGTACATTTAATTTCTTGCGGTGCCAGATTGATTGCATGAACTGATTGCATGAACTGCTCTGCCATTCTGGTACCACGCTCAATTTTTGCTACTGCAGTCCCGATTTTCTTTTGCATTTGCAAACACGTCAGCACACAACCTCTATAAGAGACATCAGAAGAACCTAAGAGCAAAAGCACACTAGCATATAAGTGGTAGTACCATTCCAGCGCACCAGCGCACGAAACATCAAATTGGGTTGCAGCTCCGTCCAAAATGCATTCGCAAGCAGCTGTGAAAATATGGGCCGACACGCCATACTTGTACCAGCCACCAGCAAACAGATAGCAGTGCACCAATTGGACCAAGTGAAGAAAGCTATTCTTGACGTTGTGCCTTTAGGATTCCTATTTGCTCGATAAACAATTCTCAATGTCACAGCAATTATTTGTGGGAGATATCCCCTAACTTCAAGCACCTCACAAGCCATTGAAATGCCAAGACAGTCGGATCAGCTGCTTCTTTGGCCGCTCAGCCCAGCCAGAACGCCCCATACAGGTCACTTGCATGACTAACAGCACAACCTGTCAGCCATACAAAATGAAACTAAAGCCCCATGCAAAAACATGGCATTCGCTGCAGACTACTGCGCAAAAGTATCAACGCCTGCAACAGCTCCTGCTTTTGATGTTTTAAGACGTTTTAAGCGATTCCACTCTGGCGTACAGTGTACTGATTGACCGACCGGACTGCTCTGGACCGCTGTGGATACCCGAGCAATCACCATTTCCCTTCAGCTGGTATGGTGCAAGCACCCATGGATGTGAATGTGTTGTCTTGCAGTACACCACTCCATCCCCCGCTCTGTTCTTTAATTGACCAGAAGGTTCATTTTATCCTCATCCGCATCACTCGGTCTAGCATCACTGCGTCGAACAAGTCTCCGCTGCCAAAGCACCAGAAGCATGCGGGCTGTAGAGAGCGCCTGAGGTTTGGGATGCCGCGTGCTGCCCACATGCCAATCATGTTTTGCAGAAATGCATTCTGGCTACTTGTCAGCCTTGGTTGCTGTCGACAACGATTACTTGCATGGAATGTTTTAGCTGGAACGTGGGCTGTTCTAAACACTTGATTGGACCAGGTAATGCATCACAGCAATGTGCAGTTCATTGTGGACGTTCTGGTGCGTCAGCAGCTAGTGTCGCAAGCAGCCAGGCACAAGATTCTTGGAAGCACTCCGAGTTGTCAAGCAAACTGATGTTAATATGGAATCAGCGAGTTTGGAGCATAGCGGGGAGGGTGTTGTGCTTTTTGCCCTTTCATCTATGCCTTCAAGGTATGCTTGCAGGATTGTGCAGCGCCTGATTGAGAGATGTCCAGCAGAACAGACAACACATGTTTTGTACCTTGGCTGTCCACAGTGAACGCAAAGCACAGTGACTTTGGGACAGTGCGGCACATTTTCGGAAATCCCGGCTAGACAAATTGTCCGAACAGCATATAAATCAAACCTGACAAAGGTGCCAACAGTGTTGCAGCTTTTGACACTGTTGAAGCTCCAAGGCAGGCTTTGATCAGAGATGCGCAGCTGATTTCTTGCCATGCCTATGGAAATTATGTGCCTTGCTGCAATGAGAGTGTGCAGTGCAGAATGACTGTTTCGACATCTCTTTTTGTTGTATATAGATGGATCTTCATTTATGGAGTTGAGCACGTCGACCATGTGGACTGTTCCCAGCTGTACAATGCGGCAACACTTCGCACAAGATGCTAAGTATATCCAACCGGTCTGTGAGTGAAGATGTAGGCTAAGTGCTTCACACAAGGTGATGCAACATGTCCTTCAGCACAGTTCAGACTCAGTACAAGAAGAATTGTGCGGAGTCCTGGAGGAGACAAGGGGTGAGGCGAGTTCAGATGTGGGCATTTCTCCTTGTCATGGCCTTTTCTGTTCATAGTGTGGGTGAGAACCCCGTCAGCCGCCTTGGCTCTAAACCTCAGAAATGTGGTCAAAGCTACAGTATTTGCTCCTTTTGTGTATTTGTGGTCGATTCTACAGTGACGTTCCAGGGTATGTGCAGCTGTGGTCTGCTGATGGCGTCAAAGAAGGCAACCATCAGGTCCTGAGGAAATAGAGAGAGAAATTGTAGCAAACTCGCTTTTGGCCTCACTCACAAGCAAAAAACCTGCGAGAGACAAACACGTTTGCGTCACCGTGGATGTCATTTGAGGGCTTCCACCAGAGAGTGTTCCCCTCTTCCATACTGTTGGCAGCTCGTTTCTCCATACATTTTGCAGAAAACACGAGTATTTGTTGCTGATCCAAACATACTGCTTTCCCATCGACGAATAAAGATCATCAGCAGCAGCTTTTATGGTATGCCTTGCATTGTTTCAAACTGTGACGAATTCATGTTGACAAAGTTGACCAAGCCCCATCCAGAACCAAGCTTCGCCTCACTGTGCAATGCAGTTTGGGTTGCTATTGCTCTCAAGTGAAGCAAAACCTGCAGTTTGCATAGCCTTGCATAGCTTTGCATAGCCTTGCTGCCTGATATTGGAGGAGCATCTTCCGGCTTTGAGCAGCTTGATCCAAATGCAGGAGGGATTTGTGGCAAGGAGGAAGGAAGGGAAGGAAGAGGCATTGTTGTGCGACATGTTACAGTAAAGCTCTTCCTTGCCACGTTTTGCCAAGGCTCCGACGTGTATGGGGCGGCAGTCGTGAGTTGCGCAATGAGCACAGCCAGACATCCGTGCCGAGTTGCGTTAGCACGTGCCATCTTAAAAGAGCTTTGGCGCATGATAACTCTCAATCTCGAAGTCTCGATGAATCATGTGGCACGGTTTACGATCCGAGACTATTCATGTCAATTTCTCAATCAATAACAAGTCAAAAGTATTTCAAAACCATTTGGAATGGAAGATTGGTGGAGAGGCTTTTGTCATCCACACCCCGTCCAAAACACCGCATTTTTGGCAGCTGCTTCTCGGATAGTATTTGCCGGGCATACTGCTACCGCACTGCAGCTGAGGAGCCATCTGTGCTCGTCCGCCTGGCGTGTAGTCGCCATGGACATGGTGCTGCTCGAGATGTCTTACAAGTTCTCGAAGGAACCGACAGGAGCCGATTGGACAGAAGACTCATGGAGGCTCAATTGCTAAGTTCTGCAAAAAGAGGAAGAAACATAAGGTCCGGCCCGGCCTCTTAAATGCTCTTATATAAAGAGCCCCCTATACGTTCTTTTTTCAAACTTTTTTCATCTCAGGGAAAATCTCTTTTTGGATTCGCCGGGCAATAATAAGACTTATATGGTTGCTACATAGCTAGTGTTTGTGACACGACATGACTTCTGTCGGGTTGGCGGGAGATTTCCTTGTGAAACGGGTCGATTTCACAAGTAGAGCTATGGTGTGGGAGAAAGACCTTGCACCGCTGCCCACACGATAATAGGACTCAAGCTCTACGGATTCTTCACCAACATCAAAATAGACTGCAGCGGTGCAGCAGCTTGCCTTTAACTGATTTGCAAGACAAGACCTGACAAGGCCTTTCAAATTTCAATCATTTCATGGTTTACAAGTACGCAAGTCCATGAAGAATTCGGATTGGACACCTGAAGTACCTGTGTCTGAGGGTATGGACGCATCGTGGCTGGGATTCAGTGAGCAGACTCGAACCAGTTGATGTGGGTCCGACTGTTGCGCTCTTTGCGCATTGCTTCAGATCACAAGGGTAGCTTCAAACAACCAAAGTATCGAGAGACCTACAGCCAAACTAATTTTGTGAGTTTTGAAGAGGGTGCAAAGCCCCAGGATGCTTTCTCACAAAGAGAGGCAAGCAAGTGCGGGATAGGTCGGGTCCTTTTAGCTGGCCATTTCGTTATACTTTCAGTCCTTGCATATCAGAGTTGTCCATGCAGCAGGCCAGATAGAGGGATGTCCGCAGAGTGTGCCAGCCCATTTTTGAATTTTCCAAGTCCATGGAGTTTTGCTTCTAAGTTGAATATGGAGTCTACTGAAGGCAATTGCTTCTGTGTCAAATATATCAATACAAACAAGTTTGGGATTCGCGACACTGTGACGCAGAGTTTGGTGGCCTTGACATTGAACTGAAACTCCAAGTAGCTGCCTGTGAGCTTCTGAGCTACAACTTGTTTCACCCTAGAAAGCGGCGACCACTGCTGTGTGAAGAAGCCACAGGGCCTTATTGGCACTCTTCCTGATGTCGTTCAGAAGTGCCATTGCATGAGGCTGCGGGGCTCCTCGATTTACAAGGTGCTGAGCATGTGGGAGAAATCCCACATCGGCCTTGCACACCAGCACCAGCATAGCGAGGAGGGA